CAAACAAACAAACAAACAAACAAACAAACAAACAAACAAACAAACAAACAAACAAACAAACAAACAAACAAACAAACAAACAAACAAACAAACAAACAAACAAACAAACAAACAACAAACAAACAAACAAACAGACAGACAAAAAAACAAACAAACAGACAGACAAATAGACAGACAGACAGACAACCTAACAAATGCATTGTCACCTACGAGTTCTGTTTACAGACATCTGGTCATGTACTCAATGTTATGAGAGGTTCTTCCTGCATATGCACAGACCCCAAGTTTTTTTTTTTTTAGAGAATTTCGCTTTTGCAAAATAACTTTCTTGCTGATAAAATGCAAAAACATGATCATACAATTTATACTGCACAAGTAACACTAAATGTAATTAATAAATGAATAAAAATAAATAAACATATTTATATGCAAACTAGCAAGTATTCATTTGACCGATTTTAATGGATTTCCTCTAATGAAACAAAACTTATTAACATATCTTTTAATGATTTTTTTTGGAAACTTTACTTCATAAACTTTACAAAATAGAATATAGACGAAATTTGTGATATAAGGAGCAAGTTTGCAGATTGCCAATTTATGTTATCCCTGAACTCAATTAACGCCGATTGAGGAGGCAATCAGACTCGTCAAACAGATAAAAGACAAGTTATGGCAGTCCCTAAACCGATATTATGTAGGTCATGATATTGTCTTTGCAGTTGTTAATCTATCAGCGAGGAAATTGTTTCTACATAAACGTTTTTTAGCAAAAAAGAGAATTAAATACATTCATAAAATTTGTTCAGTTTGGTGAAAAAATAAATAATTTTATATTATGTTTTATGCTATTTACATCTCTTTTGGTTAAAAATAATTTTTTTTAAATTTTATCTTTTCCTAGAACTATTGCTTAATTTTGAAAATCAACTGGACCATGAGAATCATCTTCAGGTGGTTTATATGAAAATAATGAAAAGCGTTTATTTAACTGTGAAATTTTCTAGACTTTTTAAAGGCAAATTTCGGTTAATAAATCTAATCTCCGGTTTGATTTTTGTAGTAATAATACCTAAAATTATTAAAAATAATGTTTTAAGTTCTTTTTAAAAGTTTTCAGAAAGGTCAATTTGAAATTCATTGATCAAACAAAATAAACTGCCGCTATTTTGTGACGCATTTTGTTTAGGTTCTACAATGAGGCGGCGTATCATTGATGGATTCTGATTACTTAATGACTTAATGGGTCATAAATAAAATATGCTAATTACCCCTTAGCAGCACTATGCTGATTACCCTTTACAACTGTCGAAGATGCTTTTTATAGCGCAAAGGCCTATATATTTTATTCTATATGGGTTCTACTTATTTTAACCAGGTTTCCGGTTCGTAATTTTAATTTTAACTATTTTTTATTTCACCATACGGACCTGAATTAAAAATAATTTGAACTGTTTGAATCTTAATAAGAAAGTGAACACTTCTTATCGGCGCAATTTATTTGTTATACAGAAAATTTTCACGCTCTTCTTACAGGCAGCACAAACAAAAAACTGCTCGCAGAATAATCCGTGAATTTGTACGGAGCAGAGATGGAACAATCGGACAGGCAGCACTCAAAATTAACGATGGGCGCGAGATAATAATTGAATCTTCAACACAACTCGCATTGAACGCTCAGCGAAGCCATCGAAACAGCGAACAAGTAGGTATCGGATGAATATTTGATGAGACACAGTTATAATTATCGTAAATTCCCCGGTTTATTCACTTTCCAACCGTCGGCCAGTCATGTGCAATATTATCACTGCCTGTCTAGCAAGTTTATTTCTTCTTTGTCTCATCGTATTTTATGTGGATGTACATTTTTTGGATGTACAATTTTCGGAAGTACATTTTTACATTTATTATTTATTATTATTTGCGAGTACTTGAAGTTTCCATTTGGAAGAATTTTTTTAAAAACAATTCAAAATTTATTATCAGAGTTTAAAAATATCAAAGTTGAACAAAAAATTGAGACAACAAATTAGAATGTTTATTCATAGAATTTATTGTTCAAGAAAAATCTCTCTATTTCAGTTATCAATCTACTACACTGAGTATATAAAATTAAGAGATCATATGTTAAGATTACAATTGAGATTATACAAAACATCGCAATCAAGATACACATATGTTGGCTGCTCACATCACTGCTTATGGATGGATGCTTTGAAATCTTTAAAACGCGCTATCTAGCAAACTCTTAATTTTTGGCTGCATGGTCCTTACAAAACTGAATGTCGTGCAATGAATGAGAACGAACGAGTGTTGGGACCCAAGTTGGCGCTAAGAAGGAAGCGATGGAATTTTTTTAAAATGAGATAGATTTCAAATTTTGTGAAAGCAGTGGCGTTCGTGCTAAAATTAACGATATTTATCACATAACAGCCATTTTATTTCCTAGTACAATTTTTACGATTGTTTACTCATTTTTCACTGAACGTTCAAGTTTGTTATTTCTGAAAATCCAATTTCAAACAGATCTCCAGGAAGTTAGGCAAGGTGCAGCCGCAAGCAACAAGATCGTTCATCACTTGAAAACTTTTCACGTCGCGAGATGGCGGGAAATCGTTGGAAAATGTCGTAAAAACATTTTAGTGACGTTCTTTCATTGCATCCCTCGTATGGAAGTTGCCTCCTTCTTGTACGTTGCATTATTCACATTTAAATTTATTGAATTTTCAAGAGTTGTTTGTTTAAATTGCACTTCTAATTTGTATACAGAATCAATTGATACAAAAAAAACTTAATAAGCGAATATTTTAAATTTCGAAATATGTTTAAAATATTTTTAAGCATATAGACGCTTCAGGAAACACTTATTTTTCTCTGAATTCACTACAATATCTTTCCAAGTAGACATAGGTAACCGAAGGGAAGCAGAAAAAATGCAACTGTTGAACAACCACAAAAGTAGGTAGATGTGTTTTTGTTGGCAAGCGTCAGCAAAATGAATGCTCGTATGGAGAACCTCTGTATAGCAGCAGATGGTGACGACCATCACAATGCAGAACTAATGCGTTATGTAGATAAAATGGAAATCAACACGTGCGGCTCTGGTTAAGCTCGTTTGTGTGTTTGCATGTTTGTGTGTCTGTTCGTTTGTATGTTAGTGTGTTTGTTCATTTGTATGTTTTTGTGTTTGTTCGTTTGTATGTTTGTTCGTTTGCATGTTTGAATGTTTGTATGTTTGTGTTTGCCTGTTTGTGTTTGTATGTTTGCAGTTTTTATGCTCATTTTCATATATTTCACAAGCTGGAATGTTGTGCTGATGTTGCTGTTTCATATTTGTACGTAATTCTAAACAAGAACAAGCATATATTTGGACATACATCGATATGTCAACCGAGATAAACTGAGATTGCTCAGTTTCAATCCACTGGTGTTACCATGCACATGATACGTGCTAAGCTTCCATTTATTATTTCCACCCGCAAGATGAATGTTCACAAGCTGATCTACCAACACAGCTATTGTCATTTTAGCAAATAAAAATCTACAAGATGGCACTCAGCTGCGTTAACATAGCCACTCATTTAAATTTTACATGGACTTTCAGTTCAAGCAAATCAATCTTTTGAATGTTCTTAAGAAATTATTTTCTCCGTTTTACATTTTCAACTAAAAAAAAAGTATTTGACAATATTGCATAGCTATTAATACAGCGATCTTTAGAGCTCTGAATAAAAAGAATATCTTAAAAATGTTTTTTTAAGTAAAAAAAACTATAATACTTTAAAATCAAATCAGTGAAATTGCATGAAAAAAATTAAATTGCAAATCATAAGATGAATTATTATTGCAGAAGTTCATTTTAGCTTCTTCTGATCCACTTTTTATGTAATTGGAAACATTGAAATTTAATTTATAATTCTTCTAAAACAATTTCGTTATGATTCTAAACGAAATTAGTTCTTGAGCATCTCAACAGCCAGGTTCTCTGATGACCGTTCAGCGAGGTAGGCAGCATGCAGTCACAATGGCACGGACACAAGCGAGCAACAGTACCTTCCTCCACACAATTAAAAAAGAACAAAAGAACGCATCTGAAGGACCGTGACTAATTCTTCAGTGGAAATTTAAAAAAAAGATTACGTTCAACTGGTTTCGCCGATTTATCGTTTTCATTAATTTGATATATTTCAAAGTGAAACTGATTACATTTTGCAATATTGAAAAACAACAACAATTTTTGAAAAATCATCTAAATTTACCAAAATTTATTTCAATTTTCGTTAACTATTTTTAAATAAAACAACTTGTCATGTGACTATTACTCAAAAAGCTTAAATTTTATGTTTGTAAAAAAAGATGTAAACATATCTATAAAATCCTGCCCACCATTCAATAAGTGATATGAATATCGTTCGAATGAACTACGAAATCTCTGAAGTTTTAAAACAAATTATTCTCAAATACTGAAATACAAAATCATAAAGTTCATTGACGACTTTATCGTACAGAATTATTAAAGTTCATCTTACTAGATCATTCGGGCTGCCTGCTTAATTGTTAGTGGCTGATTGTAGAGTTTTTTTTTCATTTGCAGTCTTTCAAAATTTGAAAAATGCTGAAAATTGTTTTTTTCAGACTTCTGGTAGAAGTTTATTAACACAACAAATTTTTATTTTTCAATCAAGGAAGTAGAACAATCGTCCAAATATTATTTATGAAGCAAAATTAATGACGTTTTAATAGATTTCATGGAAAGTTTGTTCATATGTTTGTTTGCGTGTTATTAGTTTTTAAATTTCCAACAATGTTTGCATTACTTTTTCAGATTAATCTTTATTATTTAGATTAAATTAGATCACAAAAATTTTAAAAATGAAATTTAAATTGCTATTGTTGTTAACGTTTTGTTTATTAGTTGCTGGGTACAATAACAACAACAACGACAACGACGTCGACGACAAAACCAACAACAACAACAACAACAACAATCCCAACCACCACCACCACCACAACATCAACAACAACAACAATCCCAACCACCACCACCACCACAACATCAACAACAACAACAATCCCAACCACCACCACCACCACAACAACAGCAACAACAATAACCACCACCACAACAACAGCAAAAACGATGAGAAAGAAGGAAACGAGCCAGCATTGCAAAGAGGATACTTTCAATAACACACGAGCACAAGACCACGTTTTGTGCATCTCATTGAATTTATGGCCGCTCTTCGCATTGAAATCATTCATATTACGTTCTTTGATGCTTGACATTCTTCAAGTCTTCTTCCTCTTGCACGTTCTGCTTGTGATGCTGCTCTGCTTATGTTTTCAGAGATTTTTTCAAAGTTGTTGTATGTTTTGTGCTATTATAATTAAATAATATTTTTCATGTTTCTTAACGTGGTACAAATTTTTGACATGTTATTACGGCTGTTTGAAATTTTTTTTTATATTGCAGTAACTTCAATTTTTGACAAAAGCAATTACTCATTCCATTCAAATTTTGCGGATTATGTCAGATATGTTCAAATTTTTTATTTGATTAATAATTATTTTTAAAGATGTGTAACACAACAAACTAGAACGAACCCTGATGCCTGTACATTTTGTAATTGTGATTTATGTAGTTACTTTGATTGGTTGTAATTTAGTGTTTCTATTACTGTTGGCATTCAAATAAACGTTCAACCAAGTTTAAGCTTCAAGCGTTCATCAATTGAAAATCTTAAACCTACGAAATAACGGTAACTTGACGATCGTTGGGAGCTACAAAACTCTTTCAGATCTTTGAAGGTGTAACATTGGTGTTAGTAGTAACGAGAGTCAAAAATTACAACATTGGTATCAGAAATTAGATTTTTGATAGCTTGAAACTTTCTGTAAAAAAGAATGGCAGCATTAGAAAAGTTCGATACAACTCATTCGAGAAAGGAACTACAAAAACGAAACCTCGACTCAATAGAAGTGAAGGCGGTTCTGGTGAACCGCCTAAGGAACGCTCTGATAAAAGAAGAAATCGATCCGGATGAGTTCGATTTTCCGGATCCTGTAGAACAACAGTTTGTCGAAATGAACAGAAAATTTGATCAACAGGCAGAAAAACTAAACAAGGTCGCCCAGGAACTAAACGACAAGATGGACCAGCAATCAAAACAAAAATTTCAGAACGAAACGAAAAGATGGGTTTGACGGAATAAATAAAAAAAGAACAACAAACAAGAGACTTCAAAACAGTATTAAGAGGTCGAATCAAGCAACTAGATAGTGAAGACAAACGCGTCCAAGTGACAAACAAAAACAACACAGAAATAAATTTGGACAGTAAACCGAGATTCTGATATCTTATCAGATAATTCAACTACCTACAATTACATTAGCGATCGCAAGTCTATCATTCCCATGGATGATTTCGACTGCGAAGCACGTGATGTCTGCGACGCACGTGTTAGCAGCGATGCACGTGTTCAACCGTAAGGATGAAGATGATAACAAAACGACTATAAAGGTTACAAAAATATTAGCAAAGTTGATTGACAAAGACAGTGAAACTTTTGATATGCAGTGGGACTGCTACTCGGATGTTACTGCTAGCAACTGATTTCATTTTTAATGCTTTTCATTTCTATCGTGATGATGAAGATGATGACGATGACAACGATAAAGGTCTTGAAAATATCCTAGAAGTTAGCAGTGACAAAGACATGAAAACTTTTGATATGCAGTGGGACTACCATTTGGATCTTGCTGCCAGCAACTCGTCTACTTACTTTTCTAACAGCGACAACGGTTATTTAAATGGCAACGATGTCCTTGATGGTGATTTTAATGTGAATATTCATTCAGGACACGAATTGGTGACAGACGATTATTCAAGTTTTGAGATAACGCCTCCAATATGCTGCTGGAAGAAAAGATTAGTTCTTGTCTACCTAGATGATGACATCAATGGCGATTTCATTGCTGATGAGGATGAGTTTTTCATCGCTGCATGACTGATCAACAGGAAAGATGTCAACGACGAATCTTACAACAAGCATCAAAGATACCCGTTTGATCATTCTACGCCTCGTAAACTCAATAAAAAGACAGCATTACTTCAAGTGCTAACAAAATCAAGAAAAGATCACGACATCTGTTTATGGCTAAAGATTCCGAAACAACAGAAACGTGGCGTGACCCGAAAAGAAATAACGCAGGTTTCAAGAGCAAAGACCTGGCCTGGTGGTACAACCTACGGCGCAGATAAAGGAGATGCCCTGCAAAACTCTCACGGAATTGTAGAGATCGGTACAAAGTCACTCATAATAAAAATTACGTGATCAACAGGACCAATGATCACGAAAGACAATAAGCAAAAATACATAAAGCTTGTCCATTTGAAAAGATTATTCCCTATTCATCGCAATAAAAAAAGCTTATGTCGGGGGCAAACAGGCTAAGGTGGAGATAATGTTATAACCACGCGAATAAACGAATTACGCTGCATCATTAGTTAATGTTATATTTTTGCTTTTTATCGCCACTTGTAAACCACAAAATCTTTTCATACCAAAGGATTGTAGATATCGACTCGATGCTAAAACTTCCATATATAAGACCAGCACGAGCTTTTTAGAAGCGAAGTTTGAAGCAAATTTGTAATTTTGATTTATGTAGTTACTTCGATTGGTTGTAATTTAATGTTTCTATTACTGTTGGCATTAACATAAACGTTCAACCAAATATGCGTTTAAAGCAATTTCGATTCATCTATCGGAAATCTTGAACCTACGATAACTTGACGATCGTTGGAAGCTACAACACTGGTGTTGGAAATATAGAGATCATTTGAGTTATAACATTGGTGTTGGTAGTAACAAACGTCAAAGATTACAGCAATGATACAAAATATAATGATCTTAGATAACGTAAAATAAAATGATACAAAGTGATATGATATGAAATAAAACATTATATGAAATGAAATGATACAACATGAAAAAAAGGAAATGGGTGAATATTTGCAAAAAATGCTTTTGCTTACATTCTGCATAATGTAATAGCAGTTCAAAAAAAATTGTTCCAAAAAAAAAACAGACTAGAATGTCACCCAGAAACATGTAGTATTATCAAAAATGGTCAGTTATGTTGACAGTTAACAAAAACTTGACTTGCATTCATGGTCATTACATCATCACCGATACTTTCTTATCTTCATCACTATTGTTATCTTTACAATCACCATCCATTATCACTAACATCATCGTCAACATCAAAACTTTTCCATGCAACGAAGCAAACTAAATGACGCAAGCATTATGACAGCTAAAATTTAATTAAACTAATGGCTGGCTTGGAAGTTCATTTTATTCATTTCACTAGCAGATTTAATGAAGGAAAATTTGTTCTTCGCACTAAGTTGTTCGCTCAGACGTGCATGAAACCAAATGAACTGCTCTCTGTATTGAATCATCTTCTAGTTCACTTTTCATACTGTATAACACCAGTGGATCTATTTTGACGGGAGCTCGACAACTGGATCACAACTTTTACGGGGTTAGGAAGGCACGATTATTGCGCAATTGTTTGGCAGCATGCTCCCTTCGAGCCTTCCCTCAAACCCGCCCCCGCATGACGACTGCCTGTAACGGCTGATTGAATTGGGCATTATCGTGCAGTGAAGCAACAAGCGAAAAAAGCCTCCATCTATCTATTTAACTTGTACATTATTTATATAAACCACGTTTAATCAACTTTAATGCTGAGGTATTTATTTCTATTTTAACAGCTTGTATCAAATAAACCCTCTTCCTAAAAAAATTTATAAATTCTTTTTAGAAATTGTTGAATCACACTTGCATGTGTTTTGACGATTTGTAGGATTGCAGGCCCCCGAACGTCGGCTGCTTTAAATAAAAATAAAAAAAACAATTGGAAGCCAATCGAAGCGTAAGTGAGGGAGCTGATGTTGAATATTTTATAAGTTGTGACACGAACAACTTTTGGTGGAGTAATGCCTCGGTTGTTGATGCAGGGCCAGCAGTTCAGTCTAATTGAATAACATAAAATAAATTAAGGTGTTACCTGCTGAAGATTAAACTTTAATCTAATACTTGAATAAAAATTTTAATTAAAGTTGAAATTCTCTGGGCTTTTTTTCTTGTTTTTCAGCCGCACTACACGTGTAACTAATTGAATTTACAAGTGAAAATTGGTCTGGAAAGTATAACAAGCAGTTAATAAAAGGTGCTGTCTGTATTAACTCTTGAATACAAGCTGTTGAAATTAAGATAAATAGATTATAGTTTAATATTTGTTCATTTCATATATACAGAATATAACATATTCCATTATTGTTCCATTCTGTTATATTCTACATGTTTTATATGAAGAGGAAATTACTACAAATAGATCGACGGGGGCAGTTAAAGTTTTTTGGTAACATCATGTGGAAGGAAGGAATGGAGAATCTAACAACTACTGGAAAGTTTGCAGGGAAAAGAGATCGCGGTCAACAGCGAATAACATTCGTGAAGTCCTTGTTTCACTTGTTGAATGTCACCGCATTTCAACTACTACAAAGTGTTAAAGATCGGGTTTTGTGGAGGTCGATGGTCGCCAATGTCCTGAAAGGATGAGACACTAAAAAGAAGAAGATGTGAATTCTATATATATATGGCTCATTATATTTATTTTTTAATTTTTGTTAAGAATTTACGATTCATGCGAGTGCGTGCGTGGAGGTTATGTTAATTATTTTAATGAAAATTATATTACTTATTTTAAAGAAGAATTAACGAAAAGAGGAGAACGATCCTTCAGCCTCACTCGTTCGGGTGAGGATGATGGTGAAGCTTCCGATCATTATAAACGCTGCCGCTGATCAGGATAATGATGCTACTGATGGTGGTAATGATGATGTCATTGATGATGATGACGTTGTTGATGGTAATGATGATGGTGGTATTGATGATAATGTTATTGTTGTTGTTGATGATGATGATGATGCTGTTGATGGTGATGATGATGGTGTTGATGAAAATTACTTCATCGTGTTATACAAGAGTTTTTACTGATTTTAAATAAATTAGTGAGAAAATAAATTCGGTCCAAATGTGTGAATTGAAAATTTTGCACGAGGCTGTTGTGGGTGGTGGAGGGGGTGGTGGTGGTGGGATGAACGTGCATGGATGGAATCGCCTGAGAGAGAAGTTTGAATGAAAATTTAGTGATGACGAAAAGATGGTGATGAAGTGATGATGATGATGAGGTGGTGATGAAATGATGATGATGATGAAAATGTTCATCAAAATAATGAAAAAAACTTGTAATGAGAGATTCGCAGCAAGAGTGGATGACACTTGTGAAGAATTATACTAACAATACTTGTTTGAAAATTTTTTTTATCTTTATAAAAATAATGCTAGAGGCTAGAACGGTAATGATGTGCATGGTGATGATAATGTAGATGGTGGTGTTGATGATGATGATGGAGACGGTGATGATGATGGTGAAGATGATGTTCACGGTGCTGATGGTCTTGATGGTTATGATGATATGGATGGTGATGATGAAAAGGATGGTGATGATGATGATGATAGTTGTAAAGTTGTAATTGTGCATATGAAACTGACGATGATGAAGTTAGTGATGATGATGTGAAGCCCACTGGTGACGATGAAATGTAACGAGAAGGAGGATATGCTGGATGTTGGTGAAGATGAGGACGTCAATATAACATCAACTACACCGCAAAAATAATGGTGACTATGATGATGTTAATGATGATGATGGTAGTGATGATAATGGTGTTGTTGTTGTTGATGATGATGATAATGGTGTTGAGAATGATAATATTGATGATGATGATGATAGGGATGGTGATGATGAAATCGATGATGGTGATATTAATGATGATGATGATGTTGATGATGATGATATTAATAATGATGATGATGATGATATCAGAGACGAGGAGGAGGAGGAGGAGGGGGGTTGTGGGAGAATTGATTATGACGTGCGGGATTATTTATGACGTCAATTAATTTCCATGATGATGATTATGATGGGCAGATTATGACAGGCAGTTATGGATGCCGTCTATGTGCTTCCCACCTTCGAACGTTCGCTGCAAACCTTCTAGGCTCGCTTGCATTCGATTCGTCGGGTGACTCCGCTGATTTCATTCTCGCTGTTGATGCATTTGGCCGCGCCATTTCATTTTTCAATTTTTTTTAAATTTTATGTCCACATTATGAAAGGAAACATCTGAAATTGAAGCGGGGGCCAAGCAACCTCGCAAGGAAACTTTCGCTAGGGTGTACATTCAGTTGAACACAATCTCCATGCAGACCTGTGAAAGTTTGCACTGTATAAAAACCACAACAATAAAATTAAGTGAAATTATGTGAATTTATGTTAAAAAAACACTGGTTTTAATTACAAAATGTTTTTAAGCGACCCTGTGAAAAATAGTCGACAAATTTTTAAAACAAATTCAAGCCTTTCACCCAGCAAATTTCCGGCTACACCACAAAATAAAAAAATAAAACATTGTAAAAAACAATGAAAATGTGGTTGTCGGTGCAACGTGTGAGGCACTTGGAATGCAGGGGCACCTCCAACATGATCTCACAACTCGAGGGCTCTTTTAATTTTTTGGAATTACTAAATGCGGTTTTTCAGGAATATCATTAAAAAATGTTAGTTTTTTCTTACATTTTAAAAATGACTTTTAATCCAATTATTGCCTCATTTTCTGAAGTGTCTTCAAACGTTTAGAAATGTTTTGAATTGTAAAAAAGAAATAAGAGGTGATTGGGCAAGACACGCAAAAGTCTGCACATAAAATAAAATTTTCTGTTTAGAAGAAAAATTAAATAACTTTCGTGAACGTTGAAATTAATATTTTATGGCTGTACTTGCGTGATGAAATACGAGAATGGAACATGAACATTCCTTCCAGGGAACTAACTGTTCTTCAGTGGCTTCTACTCTACATCGTTTAAACATTTGCGCAAAAATTTTGAATAAATAACCCACTGTGAAAGATGATTAACAACTAATTTAAATGCATGTTGCAATAAATCACAAAATAATTATAATTTCAAAATGTAAATCACAAATATAGAAAAATTTGTATTTAACAAGTAATGAAAGAAGCTTTTACATTCATGCCCCATTCAAATGCCTGCTACATTCTTAAGAAATTCCCAATCAATCAATGCAATCATTCACTGGAGTGTGCATAATGCCTTTCCTTGGTATTCAACTGAGCTTTTCCGCATTTGACAGCAGCACAATGCTCAAATGTCCACAATTTTGTATTCTGCTGTTTGTTGAGTGTTTACAAACTCTTTCATTTGAGTCAAATCGTTCGTTTCAATGACATGTACACTGGAGTTTAGTATTTGATTTGTTCGTTATCGTGGCGTTGTTGTCAGCTCCGAACGGTTACGCTGAACTTTTATAATCCTTGATCATCGAGTTGTGTTGACTTATTTATTACTTTATATTCGTGCGTGAAAAATATGTTTGAAATTTGTTGAGCTTCCATTTCTTCAACGGAATATTCGATATTGCCAGGTTTTAATTTCCATGTATCCATCCTCTAAATTATTTTACTTCAAAAATTTGTTGTAAACTTTTTGAAGGATAAAAGGAACATTTTCAAAGTTTTTAGCTACTCAACATATTTCCCAAATGTCCAATAATTTGAACAAACAAGCAAAATCTCTCAGAATAAGTGGTGGGATTGTTCCGCCAGACACCCCAGCAATAAAACATTCCAATTTCTAGACGACAAAATAACCGAAAATATTTCAACCAACAATTGTTTTATTTTTTTATTTAAATTAAATTAATTTCAATTTTTGAAAAATCATTCAGAAAAACATTTTCCATATTATTGTTTATTTATTCACTAATTATACTCTTTCAATTCGTTTTAGCCACTTTGAATAGAAGAAGTGAATAAAATCAGTTTTCTACAACAAATTTTTTCCAGTCAATGTCCCATCTTATATTTATGTTTTTCAATCTACTATTTTGCTGGAATAAAAAATTAAATATTTTTCATCCAGCTAATTTTTATACAGCTATATTTTTCAATCATTTAATTTTTTCCGCCACGTCGCCATTTTGATTTGGACATGGAGTAACAATCATTTAATCACCAACTCATCGATTGGTTGCGGATGAATACATGACAGCTGCGGGTCTACTTGAAAACCTTTCAAATTAACATTTTTGCATTATTTTATCTTAAATTGAATATTTCAAATAACTTTTTAGATGTACTTGTTTTAAATAACTATCAGGCCTTTTACATAACGTTAACTTTTTTTATTTTTAAAAATCTAAAGCTGAAAAAGTTAACCAAATACTTAACAAACCAGCGTAAAAATGTTAAAAAAATGCGAGTCAGTCAGTGTCAGTAAGAAGCCATTTAAATATTTAATTTTATTGGAGATCTCCAACATTGCCAAACAAGCTTGCCAAAAACTGCCCAAAGTCAACTAAAAAAAAACTATTTTTTGAGGAAAAAATCACTGATAAAAATCACCAAAAAAATTGAAGATCAAAAATTTGAAGACAATTCAATAACAAAAAAGCAAGAATTTTCTGAAACATAAAATTAGCAATAATCAGCAACAAAATCAACCGGCATTTAATTCAACCCAACACCAACCAACACAAAACACCAACCGGAACCACATCAAATGACCAAAGATGCTTACAAAACCGCAATTATTTCCATTAAACAATCGAACACAGCAAAAAGAAACAGAAACCGAAAACAAATAATAATATTAAAAAAAATACAAAAACCAACAAAGAAAACAAACAACACAGTACTTATTTTTCTAATTGCGTGTCTCTCTTTTTTGAATACAAACATTCTTCCTCTAAAAGTCATTGTGCCTGGCAAACAGCATCTTACCCTCGCACCATCTCTACTGAACAAATATAGTCTTGTTTGTTATCGGGCGAGTTGTGTAAGCTACACGTCAGCGTCCGTCATGTTATGTATCTTACCGTGTTCTGCATAGAAACAAATGTTGTAAATGAAAATGTGTTTTTATTATTTTTATTGTAAGTCGATGCAATGCTTAAATTGACATGTGGACGCATATGTGAGCCGCGGTACAACAACGTGCTTCTTCCTTTAAGCATCAACGCGTTCGTGCATACATTCCTGTCAACGGAAAAGATGCTAATAACAACGAGAATGTATTTGAGATGCTATAAATTGGATTTGAACCCCCAATCTCAACATCTTCAAGTTTTACTTCTAACCAGCGATTTAATATTCAAAATTAGTTTCAATCTTATTTTTAGAATTTGTTGTCTACGTGACGTGGTAACTGGCTTGATGAGTTAAGATTAACTTTCAAGGTTATTGCGCTGTTTCAGTGGACGTCAAATGTGCAAAATGTTTCTCACGGCGTTCGAGTGATTTTGTAGAAACAAACTGACAAATGTTAATATTTAGGGTCAAATCGGATGTCATTTAAAACGTTCATTTATATTTAAATTGTAATTTAGGTAAAATTAACGAACTTAAGCAAAAAAAAATAAAGTAAACAAACTAAAAGTGTCAAGGTTAAACGAAATGCAGCTTAAACAAAAACACGACACGAGACACAACCGACTGTTAATGTCCAATGGTACAACTGCATAATAAAAAAATGCATTTCGTTGAAATATTACACAAATAGATTAATGCAACAGAGAGCAAGTTACTACTACTAATAATTAATGAAGCGCCATTTATAAGATGCTCTTTAAAAGTAACACGAGGCCCCTCTGTTTCCCAGCTTCAACATTTCGGATATTGCTGAAATGAAAAGTAAAGCGGAAGGGAGAGAGACTTGCGAAGTTTATGTGACAAAATGTTGGCATCGGATGAATTGCTTGAACGCCCCATTTTAAATTAGTCACTTTAATTTCTTACGACCAAGTTTTTGTTAAAAGTGTCACCGGCCTCATCTGATTAAACTCTTTTTCACCAAGTTTCAATTTGTTCCGCATCCCACTTTTGCATATTAGCGTGTATACAGGGGGTCATTTGGGAGATATAGGAAGAAATAGCACCCCACAAGGAATTATAATTGCTTAAGTAGTCTATGTACTTAAATTTCAATAAAAAATATCTATTTGAAAAATGTTGACCAATGGGTAAATCTTTTAAAAAATTTTTCAAAGTTATTCTCAGGGATAAAAATGTCCACGATAAATAAAAAATATAATAATTACATTTTTAAGCTTACCAGTGGTGTATGGTTGTATGCGTGTGTGTTGTGGTTGTGTTTGATTGTACACGTGTGTGTGTATGTGTGTGTGTATAACTGTAATGTATAATTAAGTGTGTGTGTGTGTGTCTTTATTATGTATGATTGTGTGCGTTATGGAGTAATATATGATTGCATGGGTGGGGTAGTTTTTGATTGTGTGTGCTGATTTTTTTTGTTTCTTTGTATGTGTGTGTGTATTTATGTATGTGTGTGTGTGTGTGTGTGTGTGTGTGTGTGTGTGTGTGGTTGTTCGTGGGGGGCGAGTGTGAATGAAACGACGACCGTAGAGTATTAACCATTGGTCACATGTAATGTTCGTGTTAAGTGATGCCTGAAATTATGGAGAATGTTGGGCAAATTGTATAGTTTATCAATCATTAATTAACTTTTTTCTGGATATTTATTCTGCAAAATTCTTTGAATGCATTCAGTTCTGTTATTTTGCTTTGGATGTTGATATTGCTTTGTTGACGTTGCTGTGTTAATGTGGTTGTGTGTGCTGTTGGCGTTGTGTGTGTTGTTGTTGTTTATGTTGATGTTGTGTGTTGTTGTTGTTGTGTATGTTGATGTTGTGTGTGTTGAAGTTATGTTGCTGATGTTGTTCATGTGCCAGTTGATAATTTTCTCATCATCTTCCCCATCAATCCTCATCATCGCCATCATCCTCGTCATTATCACCATTCCCTGTCAGCGTTATCGCCCATTTGATCATAATTAACATTACCAGTTGTTATTGTCTCTATCGCTATTTCCATTATTTCCATTGTTTTCTCTCTTAATTTTCAAAAAGTGCATCATAATTTCATCATTGCAAGCCGAACCTCATTCTCTTGCTATTCTCAATTAATCGATCCTAAACTAAACAAATAAGTTGGAATGAAGAAATTTCTTAAAGTTCCACAATTTTAATAATTTTAATGGTTGTTATTGTTGTGTTAGTGCTAAATTGTGCCATGAATTCATTAAAAAGATCTTTAATATTTCTGATGTTATTGGTATCACACATGTCTTCCAATGCAACCGTAATACAAAATTAACCAAATGTAACAAAAGAGAAAACTAGAATATTATTAAAACATTAGTTCAAGAGATACTGCAGCATCGTCAAAACACATCACGTAAACAGACGGATCCTAATTGCAAAGCCTTCCGATATTAGCGGAATTATATGTCAGAAACATGTGAGAGTTATTATAATCAGATAATAAAACGACACCTGTCTGACAAAATTTCAGCCCACACTGCAAAAATACAGGTAATATATTTGGCTAAGAGCACATTACTTACTGACACTCTCAAAAAGATTTCTTAAAATATGAAACAAACCAAACTTCTATCATTAAAGCAGACTCAGCAACCATTACTATAACAATCAGCCAGTATGAAACAAAATAGGATTTAAATAAATTAATCCGAATTAAAATTCATTCCATAATTGTAAAAAGCTGCATTATTAAATTTCTTTGGGTACCAGCCTAAATTGGAAGTTTAAGTAAAGAACAAGGAAATATCTTAGCTTAAGAAGGCTATAGTCAAACAATAACAGATATAACGATTCTCTAGGTCACTTTTAAGCTGCCAACATATATATATATATATATATATATATATATATATATATATATATATATATATATATATATATATATATATATATATATATATATATATATATATATATATATATATATATATATATATATATATATATATATATATATATATATATATATATATATATATATATATATATATATATATATATATATATATA